TGGAGTTGCTTGCCTGTTTCTTGTAGCGTAAGAGCTGCACTCACTTATATTATGGCCTTGAATTTTGTCTTTGAAAGTTTCTGCTTCTATTTCCCCTGTTCTTGACCTTCCACTATTATTATTTTATTATCTGATGTTGATCCATTTTTTACATCAGTAGTGATCTCCATTAAAATTGATGGTGTTTTTGTCGACTTTTCTTTGATTATGTCCAGATATCTATCTTCTATATAGGGTTAAAGCAGATCCTCTTCCTTTCTCTTTTATTCATGCCAAAGAAAGATGATATATTGTATAAGGATTTATTCCTTGTAAAATGTTATATTATTTATTTCTAGGATTTTGGCAATAATGTTATCCAGTATAATACATATTTCTGAAGCATCTCTATTATGCTATTGTAATTGGTCATATCTTTTTGTTTGGCAATTTGTTATGTAGCCCATAGTTTGCCTGTTTTATCATGCTTTTTTGCCAATTAGACTAGCATGTCAATAATATTATCTTCTCTATTGTTTACTATTTGAAGTATTTACTTTGCTTTATTTATAATAGAGTATATGTGTGGATTGATATTATTGTCATATTGTTATATTGTATTATGAATAGTCATGTAAACAGTTTAATATATATCCTTAGTGCTATTTTAGTAATTGTTGATAAGCTTTTAAATATAATGCTTGTTGTTTTGACTATAACCTTGTTTTTGTATATGTTTTAATTTTGTTTTGATTAGGCATATATTATTTATCCTTTTTTGCTTAGGTTGTTTACCTGTTTATACTGACTTTGTTGTATTTTTATAGGTCTCTAATACTCTATTTATGTTGATTACTTTTTGTTGTGATAGTTGTATTTGATGATCTTACCAATTTAAGTTACACTTGTTATGCTATTTTAATGAACTTTTGTCAAACTTATTTTGATAACAGTTTTATATATGTGTATATGTTTGCACTACTCTGGTGATATGTTTTGGTGTGTGTAGAGATGAGGTATATACATTAGGCTGTTTAGACCTTGGAAAGCCATGATGTCCTTTTGGGTCTTAAAGAATTTGAAGTTTACTTGATTTATCAATCAATCCTATTTATTTTAGGATTCCTTTTAATGTCAAGAAAGGTGACAACCTGTATTGGTCTGGTTGCAAGCTCTGTGAAGTTGATATTGGCTCCCCTTTTCTGACTATAAATTAGTTTATATTGATCTATTTCCTTCTCCTTGGCAAAGAGAATATAGTCAAGGTTATGCTTTATGTTGTATTTTCTTCAGTAATTACTAGACTAAAGCTATACATGAATTGTTGTTTTCTGTACTATGATGTCTACTGTGTAGCAAGACTTTTATGTATTATTAATAGAAGATTTTAATACAGTATATAATTCAAGTGAATATAGAAAATTATTCTCCAAAGCAAAGTTCAAACTATTATAACATCATTTTTTTTTAAAAAAAAATTTTTTTTATAATACTTTGATATATAAAATTTAAAATAATATTGATTTAAGCTTTTCATAAAAGAAGAATAGTTATCCAACTTTTATAAACTTGAGAAAAAAGTTAAACTTTCTTTAATGCAAACTATAATTATCTATATAAATAATACAATCTGGATTATTAATTTCAAGAAAGACTTAAAAAATATTTTGAAAGAAACAAAACAGTTGTATATAATAAATAATTCTCAAATCAATACAAAAAAATAATTTTTCTTATTATCAACCGAAATCTTTAGAATTTAAAAACTATTCAAGCTAAAATAGAAAATATTATAGTTTATAAAATTAATAGAAAAAATTAAGTAAAATTTCTTGATATTTGATCAGAACTAAATAGAACAATCAAGATATTATTAATCTGATAAATAAAAAATCAGGATAGTAATCCAGGTAATAAACAAGAAAAGGTTAATAAAAAAACATGCTTGATATATTATAAATAAAGTTTTAATTCCAAGAATAAAATATAGAATATAATATACAATATATATTTCTATAAAAAGACATGCAATGATTTTACAGTTATATATAAAAAGTATTCAAAAACAAAACTTTAGTTTATAAAACTATTCCAAATAGTTATTTTTATAACAAAGAGATATATGGCTTTAAAAATATCTAAAAAATACAATTAGAAAATTATATATTAGTATTATTCTGTTAACTTAATAATAATAATACCTTAGGTGCTACTATAATAATTCAACTAAAATGGAGCCAAATAAAATATTGAAAATTAAAAAATATTTTAAATAATTATTCAGAATCAGATAAGCTGATTAAAAAAAACTTGGTAGTTCTAATACTAGTCTAATTAAAAAGCTATAGATTATATTTCAAAGTTGAAAATAAAAAGAAATCTTTGATTTTTTAAAAAGATATTCTATTTATTAAGTCAATATTATAGGATAAAAGAAAATATAAAAATTTTATTCTAGTATTACAAAAGTATAAGATCATGTTTCTAAATCAATTTATTAATACTATTATAATGTTATTCAAGAAAATAAAAAGCAATCTAGATTTTTTATAATAAATACAAAAAACTAGTTCTTTTATATTTTATAGAAAATTAAGATCTTCTATGAAAATTCTATATAATTTTGATCTAAAAAGCTATAATATATAAACTAAAACTATTTCAATAAATCCAAATAAAAGAAAAATATATTGAATGATTTATTTCAATATTTCAGTTAATGTAATAAAGAAAATAATACTTATAAACAATAGAATTCACTTTACTTCATATCAACTATTATACAATTTAACTAGTAACGATACTTACTTTAGTCTAATAGATTAGTTCAATTATTAAAAATAATCCTAATACAAGTTTGTTTTCTTTTTTAGCTAAACAAATAAAAGAATTTGAAAAAAAACAAATTCTTTTATTAGGCAATTTTACAGACTGTTAGATAATTATAGGTTAATAAATGATAATTGCATTATCAATTATCAGATTTACAGAAGTAAAGATTTAGATAAAAAACTGGATTATTATATTAATTAAACAAGTTATTCAATTAAAAGAATATAAAAATAAACTTACAAATATTCTAAGATATAATAGAATGAGTATAGTTAATTAGTTCATAATTTATACAAATAGCTTTTATAAAAAAAAAGTAAAATATAGTAAATCAAAGATAGGTTTTATATGGATTCTAATAAAAAATAATAGAATGGTTAAACAATATTTATTAGGGTATTAACAAAACTATTTGTAATCAGAGTAGAAATATTAGTTATTTTATAGTATTATATATAATTTTTTAAAATGTAATAGTTTCAATTCTTACTGATTATAGTATTGTAATCAAAATATAAAAATTATTTGTTTATAAATAAAGATATTAATAAGAAAATAAATAAAGAATATAAATCAATCCTTATAAAACAAGATTAAAGATTTGGTTAAAAAGAAAGATATCACTTTGAAAATCACAAAAGTTAAAACTCAATTCATGGAATTAACAAGTTTAATAATTAAATAAATTCTTTTACTAAACAAATTAAGTAAAAAAATTTAATAATCTAGCACTAGTCACTAGAGTTTGAAAAAGTTTTAACAATAGTTTATAAAGGGAACATACAATAAAAATTAGTATTAACTTAATATATAAATTAGATAAAATCATAAAAAATTTATGAAATTTTTAAAAGAGTTAAATTCAGAAAATATAAAAAAAAAATACAAAGAACTATATAAAATTTATTTTAGGAAATAAGTTTATTATGAAATTAAATAGTTTGATTTTTAACTACTGTATAAATAGAATTTAGAATAATTTATTATAATAATTAATAGATAATAATTTTATTAATTTAAGGACTTATTTAAATTAATAAAAAGATAAAATATCATTTTTTAAATTGTATTTAGAAAAATAGTTTTTTGATAATAAGTAAGTTAAAATGTAAAAATTATAATATTTTATAAATATCTAGTATATATATACAGTATATATAAAACATGTTATATTGACTTGATTGTAGATTTAAAAAAAATGAATTTATAAATCTATAGTATAGTAATAATGTTTTTAGCTTATTAATTGCAAGATTTTAAATTTAATATCATATAAAGGTCAATACAAATACTATTTAATCAGATTTATTAAATAGTCTATAAAAGTTGTATTTAATTATTTAAATTCAATATACAATTCAAGTTGAATTATAAAAAAATAAGATTTTTAATCTTTTATTAATTAAAAGTTAAGATTTTTAGCTATATTACTGGAAGGAGATATAGTATAAAGAAAGACTTAATAATTTATAAATACTTTATTGATTTTTCTATTTTGGTAATTATTAGAAATTTTATTTTTCTAATTTAAAATATTTCAATCTAATATTTTGTTTAAATAAAAATTAATTAATTAAAATTAATTTAATATCATAAGTAATAACAAAAAAATACAATATGTATTCTTTCAATATTTGAACAAATGGTATTGAGAAATATTAGAGAATATATTTTTTATAAGTATATAATAGAATTAGTTAATATTTAACAAAAATCAAAAATTTTTATAGTTTTTTTCTAACTAGTTTAAAACTTATCATTAATAACCATGCATTAATTATTCAGTTCCTAGTCAGGTCTATCTATTTACAAAGTGATCACTGGATTTGTTTAGGATAACTATAATAGGTTATTATTAAATTGTATATATAGTATATAGAAATATATAGTATATAAAATAATTGATATTATTCTGAGGATTTGGTTATTTGTCAAATAGTAAGTCAATTTTTAATAAATGGCTTGCATCTAATACCAGTTGTGGTTTAAATACTGGATATAAAAAAAATTAAATTATTTAAATTATTCGATTTATTTAAATTAAACATTATAAAAAATCTAATTGCTTTTAAATATGCGTAAGTAATTGACACTTTAAATTAAGAGTTCAATTTCGTAAAATAAAGTTCTGTTGATCCGCTACCGCTTTTCAACCCACCCTATCAATCATGAAATACTACCGATTGATATCATTTTCCGATCAAGTCTGCGGCCTGTATCCACAGAACACTAGGATCCCTTGCACTCTTTTCATCATAGAATAACCTGAAGTCGGAAGGTTTGAACTCAAATTCTAATACCGTATCCTCAAGTATGCTACTATAGGCTTCACTTAATGGTGCAGATGCAAACATCCTAAGTGAAAAATCATTAGGTACCAAACTATTACTGGAATGATTTAAGCCAACTTCATTTAATAACGGAAATATCTCTTCAGATGTGTATACGAATCCACCAGGGAATGAAGAATAACTGAGCTGCTTTTGCGACAGTAAACCTCCAACGGCTATCGTTTTTATCTGCTTCTTTTCGGCCAATATCTGAGCTAAATAAGAACATGCAGATCCACAAAATCCATTTGTCAAAATAACGATATTGTCACATGTCCAATTTAGTGGTGGAGGGTTTGGCCCTTGTACCTCTTTAAGATTATTCAATTGGTTTTCATAATTAAGAAGGAATTTTGAGGAATATCTGTCTTGTATGCCCCCGCGTGTAAATATGTCATCACCAAAGAATTGTTGGACGGAAGTAAAATTTTTATTCTCAATCGTTACATATGAATGATAACTGAATGGTGGAGAAATTAAGGACGAGTTATCTGATGTAGTTTCGATGGCAAGTCTGTAAAGGTCCGTGAGTCGTTCGTTAAACTGGAAGCCAGGTATGATATCAGGAAACAAGAGCAGAACGATATAGTCGGAGACTTCAATAACTCCACCCCCGTTATTACTCAAATCAAGGACAACCTATTTAAGTGGGTAGTAAATGTGAGAAATTTTGTTCCATTGATAAGTATTTTAAATATTTTATTTACCTTCTCGATTTTTCTTTTTGCGAACGATCGGAATCCTTTATTTAAATTGACAAAAACGGTCTGAATTTGAGTTTGGTTATATGTTGAAATGTCAATCGTTGAAATTACAGCCACCCCGACATCGCGTACAACGTAAAACCTAGCAATGATGGCGTCAACTATCAGTTCTCCTTCGCTCAATGACTGTACGTCGATTTCACGTTTAGACCGACGTGTATTTAAAGCGGATTTGGCATTATTACTAATATCATTACTATTAGACTTCACGCATAATTGTTTATGATATGACTCAGAGTCCGTAAAGTTATTTAGCACTGCGCGTGAAGCTTCAACCGACCAACTGCGATTAAATTGTTTCAAATAATTTCCGCCGCAATTGAGAGTGTAAGCGATTTGTGGAGCCAATGGTAGTTGAATTCTTCTGGTGAACAGTTCCGAAAATTCGGATGCCTGAAGGATCCCTCCCCCGAGAGATAGGGACGTGAGTGCTCTGAACACAGAGAATTCAAAGTTAATGGAATATTTCAGACGAGTCAAGGAAACTAAAAATCGCTAACGTGTTAAATCGAACTCCCAGATCTCTCGTCCACCCAATATGGTCGAGCGCGAATTTGGTGATAACATCTAAAGCTGGAAGGCCATCAATGCTAACCACTTCACAGTCGACGTTGCTCGAATCAACAGAGTCATCGAACACTTTGATTATCTGTAAACATTAAGTTACACAACCAACTCTTTCTTAATCACGTCGAAAATATCAACAAGGATGCAATACCTGATTTCCGTCCCGTATTGTTGAATACAACGATAATCTTTGATTAAATGTAAATGATTCATAACAATAACTTGGCAGCTGGGTGTGGGCATCCATTAAAGCATTTATAATTGAATTGACGTCAGTCTATTCTCGTATTAAAAGAGGGTAGTTAAGATTTCACGCACGCATATAACAAGATATTCACTCGTTCGTAGATATTTACGTAAAATTCAAACTCGGTTTCATATTTTTTCTCTAGTAAACGATCAAGTTCTACTGCCAAATCCACGGGTCTAAATGTAAATCCGGGTTTTGGTTCTTCCTTTGCTTCATCGAAGAATGCGTAAAAGGCTCCGAGGAATCCCCTCAATGTCTCAATTGTCTTTATCAGGAATAAAGGGTGAAATTTAGCAATAAAAATTTAACCACGACACAAAATTTACGTAAATAAATGAAAACCACCTCTTTTGCAACCTTCGAATCATATGGGAATGATTGATAACAAGCACTGATCTCTTCCCAGGTGGAAGAATTGGTGGCATTAGTTTGTAAAAATTTGTCGTGAATTGTCTTACACGCATCGGTCGATTTTTTTACACGCGAAGGAGGTATGCAATGACCATAGACGATGGAATTAATGCACGTCAGAATCACCGCTGCGAATACAAAGAAATGTTTCATATTAAGTAGTGCAATCATTTGTTTTCTTCTATGATATTATAGAAAGTTATAGTTTGACTTCGGATATAACCAAATTTTATCAAAGGATAAAACTTTCCTATATGTATCCTTTTTTTTTTCTGAAATTGGTTTTACGCAGCGCAACTGGACGGGATCCATTCACCGCTATTATATAGGAAAAAATTTTTTTTGTGTGAATACTATGAATAAAAAAAAAAGTACTCATTAGTACTATAAATCAAGACTTTAGAATAGTTGTACTATATACCAAGACTTTAGAATAGTTGTTAACAAATCGTCAATGCCAAATATACTGTACGAATTTTATTTTTCGCACTCGATTTTTTCTCCTCGAATCCGCATGATGTCAGCTGTTTAACAATAATACATACTTGGATTACTATTTTTGAAACGGCAATAATTGACAATAAACTGCGAGAAATTAAAACTTTCCTTTTACATCCTAATTTTACCGAGTGCCTAAACGCATTTAATATTTATTTTATATGAAGCAGCTTGCTAATTGCGTAAAAAGAAAAGCGAAAATTAAAGTTAGGAAACCTGTGGGCAAATGATTTCACCACATATTGATTTTGGCATAATTACTTCCTCACCAAGACAAGAGTGCATATTAAAGAACGAATCCTTTACAAATACAGTAAATGCATTAATATAAATAGTCTTTGATATCCAATTTGCGTCTTACTTTTCGTATTTGCGTAGTGTGCCAATTATCTAAAAAGTATTGCGAAGAATTTTATTAACATACATGTCTGATCCGACCGTTGATGCAGATCGATGTGTTGCGTTGCATATTGCAGTATTTCTCCTTTTCCATCCTACATGGAGGATCTAGTCCGGTTCACTCACAACTGCGCATTCTCATTGCAAGCCGATCGTTCTAAGCCTATTTCAATAACTACAATAATTTTTTTTTCTGATTAACGGAAAGTATAAAAATAGAATGTAATTACATAATAATGCAGACGACTAAAAAAAACAATTTCAAAGTTTACAATACAAATATTTTTACTGTATAATATTAAAGTTAAAATAATTATTGGTTTTCCAAAAAAAAAAAACAATGTAATATTTTTTTATAATAAAAAACTTTTAATAAAACTCCATGCATAGCATTTATTATATTTATTTATATATTTTAAATATTAAATAGGATATTTATTAATAAAATTCTTTTTATTAATTTTTTGATCACATATAAAAATTGTATATTAATAAAAGTTTTCAAATTCTTTTATACAAAAACTTTTATGGATAGTTATTTTTGAAGGTGACAAAAATATTATTTAAAAATTTTCTGGTGACCTTTTTTATTTAAAATGATTTAGGTTATTTTTTTTATTCTGAATTTAAAATACATATAACTCCGTTAATACATAATTAAATTTAATAAAAAATATTTATTTTAAAACTTATATCATAAGTTATCATTTAAAAAAAAGATTGTTTAAATCTAATTACTGGATAATAAGAAAATAATATAAATAAATTAGACTCCATTTTTAGAATTTGACTATTTTTGTAAAATTAATTTTTAAAAAAAATTAAAGTACTTATATATTTATCAACATATAATTATATTTTTTTATTTTAAAACTTATATCATAAGCCATCATTTAAAAAAAGATTTTTTAAATCTGATTACTCAATAATAAAAAAATAGTTTAAATATATTAGACTTTATTTTTAGAATTTGCAATTTTTGCAAATTTATTTTTTTAAAAAAATTAAAATATATATTTATTCATAGATATATAATCATATATACTCAAAAAATATTTATATAAAGCTTATATTATGAGCTATCATATAAAAAATATAGTTAAATATGATTACTAGTAATATGAAAATAATTTAAATAAATTAGACTCTATTTTTAAAATTTGATTATTTCTGCAAGTTTAATTTTTTTAAAAAATTTAAAATACTTATATCTTTATCAATATATGATCAAATTTAATAAAAAAATATTTGTTTTAAAGTTTACATCATAAACTATCATATAAAAAAAAGTTTATTAAAATCTAATTATTGGTTATCAAAATATTTATATAAACAAAATTATATTTCATTTTCA